ACATTTTGTGGTAAAATTTTTGCGGTAAACTTGTGATAACATTTTTTAAAGACTCTCATCTTGAGCCAGCTAAAACTTGGCATAACTCGGCTACGCAAAGCACACTCGTATGGATTTAGCGAAAATGGCCGAAATCATAGCTGTGAACATGCACCGGATTTTTTCTCGCACTGAGGCTTTGGAGCGGATGCAAAAGGTTGCTAGATTTTTCATTCAGGATCTGGTTTCTTGCTTAACCGCATAAATCCATGAACTTCATTGCCTCCAGTTTCTACTTCCGAGCTAGATCTCAGCTCCTTTCCAGTCAATAACTCAGTCCCCTAGCCTCTGTTACATTCGCCTGCAATAATACAAACAGCATGCCCGATCGGAGAGGAGCATGCTACAAACATCGGGTCTTGCACCTGTCGTGAACGGAACCCTTTCTTAAAAATCGTCCTGAACCGGTAGGGAATCGAACCACTGCCCTCCACGTCCAGGCGCAACGTATTACCACTACACCACCGGTCCTTGTGCTCCAAATTCAGCCTGGCAGAACATCCACTGTGTATCTGCTTTTCAAGACGAGAGACACCTTTCTTTCCTTCTTCTTTGTAGCGATTTCTTGGCCGACTTTTTGCGAGTTTTCTGCAAATCCCCAAAACAGTCAGTTCGTGTTTTGAGAGCTGCCGCTTTCATATCACACTAATTACAGGTCTAAATAATGAGCGATACAGAGTGGTTTGAACCGGAGGTGGAGGAGGCCTGGTGGCATGGTTTGGCACGACGTTTCCTAGCTCTCGGTCCGATACCGCGGCATATTGCATTTATCATGGATGGCAATCGACGTTATGCACGCAAACAGAAGTGTTCGTCGTTTGTCGATGGCCATCTGAAAGGTTTTGCACAGCTCATGAATGTAAGTGTTTTTTGTTCATTGAAATCCCTGTGTTGTAAAAGTTCGAAGAAATGGTCCTTTGCCCTCTCTCTGTCCGTTTCTCTTTCTGTTTCTCATGAACTAGGGATGAGATCAAAATGGTTGTTTTTTATTAGAAATTGAGCAGAATCCTAATTTTTCAAGTTGTTGAAGACTGCTTTAGATTATGAGCTGTATGGATAGAAACAACTTATCTAATACTTGAATACGGCTGTTGAATTATGTTCGGAGTATGAAAGAATTTACTCATTTAATACTTGAATGCGGCCATTGAATTATATTCGAAAACTCTCCAGTGATGTAATTAACCAGTCGTGCCATGGTTGATTGCACGCAACATAGTTATTACTTCGTACCAGTAATTTTTTCATTTCGGGACAAAAATCCGTTAAATGTGTTCGCGTTATTGGTTACAGCTAAGGAATGAAACACAGGCTGCTTTCTGTTACGAATTCATTCATCATATGATTTGTGAATTCCATGCCTGCCTTCTGATGCTCTTTTATTTTTCACCTAAGTGTTTCAGAAATTTTGAAGATGCAAACAATGAATATCCCTGGCTAGGAGATTGGAATAGGACGGGGTTCTGAAGTCTTCTGTGTGTTAACATACACATTTGTTTGACACATTTGGCTCACCGTGGGGAGGAACACAGACAGATTTTGACAATTAAGGAAAAACAGGATGTGCCTTTTAGATCTCCCAAATAAGCAGGCCTGCATATACACTGAGCTGGTATTCTGTTTGTGTTTCATCCCTGAGCTGTAAACACAGAGAGCAGAATCGGTGCGGAATGGGGTAGGAATCATCAGTGGCCAGTGCCCCATTCCACCATGTTAAAAGGAACATGTGAACTGTAGACATAGTCGATCACGGATATCATTCATCCAAGCTGTAGTTATTCGCTCCGTCGTCATTTTTTAAACAGCAAATACAAAAAAAATTCATTGCTTCAGGTGCTGGAATGGTGTCGTCAGTTCGAAGTGAAAGAAGTAACAGTGTATGCGCTGAGTTTGGAAAATTTCAATCGTCGAGAAACGGAAGTGGAAGATTTGTTGAAACTGTTTGAACGAAAACTTATACAGCTTCTAAACAAATTGTTTGTATTTCCTTTTTTTTCCAGTGGACCTCTATCTTTGCAGAACTGATTTTTTTTTCCATTTTCTTCTCCATTTTTTCCCAATTTTTCGCATTTTTTTCCAATTTCCTACAAAATTTCCCATTAATTTTCCTCCCAATGATATCGCAAAGTTGTCTGGCATAGTTACTGCTGTAGCATGTGAGAGCATCCTAGTAACATCACTAATTTTGAGTTCCCAGGACCTATATTGTCTGGTTGCTTTTCGTAACTTTGTCACTGAATTTTTTTTCGTGCAGAGAATAACTGTTGTTTTTTTTTTGCAGTGACAAGGTTGATGATGCTGATATTTGCATTCGATTTTTTGGAAATTTGAGCTATCTTCCAGCTAAAATCCAGCATCTTGCAGCGAAAGTCGAACTGCTCACTCAGAAACACAGCTGGTATTTGTTCATTTCTTGTGTAATGATAATAATAATAGTAATAATAATAATAATGGTGATACTAACAAAATAATGATGGTAATGATAATAATGACAATGATTATTGATAATAATAATGACAGTAATAATAGTAATGATAATAATAGTAATAATAATAGTAATAGTAATAATAATAATAATAATAACAATAATAATAATAATAATAATAATAATAATAATAATGATAGTAATAATAATAATGATAATAATAATAA